ATAAGCATTAGTTCCTTGGAAAACCAGGGTAACAGGAATTTAGTAATCTCCAACTCTGTACATTTTTACTCTTCTCTCTGTAATTGTGCAACACAAGAAAGGCAACCACAAAATTTCTTCATACAGACTTAACATTTATTTATGTGGAAGGTTTTGCAGTTATAATACACTATGTCTAGTGTATTGCAGAGCTGAAACTTGGTTTTCATTTTCCTGGTATTCTAGAAATGGCAGTTATCTCCCCTTCCCATTGTGGAAGAGTGGAGAAAAAATACAAGGATACAATTTTAATAGTAAAGAGAGATTTTGAGAGAGGATAGATACTGACATTAAAAGTACGTAGAAAGGCAATGTTTATGTGACTAAAAGATTTGCTCTGTTCACTGCCCATTCAGTTCCTTTATAAACATTAACTGTAAAGACCATGTTCTACAGTATCCAAGAAGACGTATCATGAGCCAGGACTAAAACTGCAGTCACCCAGGTATGAATGTCTGTTTCTGACAGGGCAAAAGAGAACTCCAAATGTGTTCTCATTATCAACAGTTCTGCAGTATGCATTGTATGTCACTGTGCCTGGTGGCTAGTGTCAAACAAAAGAAGCCTTGCGAGTGCTTACTTTCATTACACACTGAATACACATACAAGATAACACTTCTTCTGTACCGGTCTATCAATGAAGAATAGTGGAAAGACTGAGCAATACTTGGAAAATATAAATTAAAAGTATGATCTGTATTTATGGATAACTTGGATAACTACAAATACCGATGCTTGTTCTGGAGCATTTTCACTAAAGTTATAGGAATCCATCAGTAAAATTTGATTAAAATGTAAGTCTTCAGTCTCATCCAACTACATCTCTTCTGTACATCTGTTTTGTCTCTACATTCAAAGAAAAAACATAATTATTTCCAAATAGGAGATTTGGACATCTGGGCATAAATCAATGAATGAATCAATATAAATAATAAAGTTTTCTTAATATTAATTTCACAGATTCACAGGATATTTGAGGTTGAAACAGGCCTCTGGAGGTCTGTTACCTCCATTTCCCCATGCTCAGAGCAGGGACAACTAGAACAGATTGCTCAAGCCTTGTTCAGTTGGGTTTTGATTATCTTCAAGGATGGAGGCTCCACAACCTTTCTAGGCAACCTGTTCCAGTTCTGCCAAACTGCTTTTCAGTCAGTCAGCACCAAGATTCTGCTGGTGTAGGGTGTCATTCCTCCCCAGGTGCAGCACTTTGCATTTCCCTTTGTTAATGTGACTCATTTTTGCATGTAAGAAGGAGAAGCTACTGTAGTCTGGTTTGATGTCCTGACAGCCTCCAGGTTTTCTTCTCTATGCAGTGAAAACATATGGCTTACAATGCTGATGGGTATTGCAACACATTACTGTGCAGTGGACCACTTTTCCTGAACCCCTCTTCTGGACCTATGTGTTCTCTAGTGAGTGAAGAGAGCACATCTTTTCTGATCTCAACTTCAAGAGACGTCATCCTCTCTTATTCCTGGAAGCACCAAAAATGATGTAACCCATAATAAGTAAAAAACAACTGCGGTGACATCCAGGGTAGGAACTCTAGATTATGAGAAATCTTAAAAATTAGTAAAATGGCATTGGAGCTGCACTTTTGTGTGTATGTTTTTAAGGACAGAGGTTTCTTAAAAAATGGTAGACTTTACAGCAGTGGCCTTGTTAGTCTTCTATTGTATACAGAAACACATGGAGGTTTAAATAAGTGCCTACTGTTCTGAGTAGTAGAAAGCTTCACTGTAAGTAGAACAACATTGTTTAATGACAGTTTGGAAGTACTGGGAGTAATAGATAGGCTGAAGTAGACTCAGTTTAGTCCTATATATGTCTTCGGCATGCCATGTAAACAGGATGTGAAGTAAGATAAAGTTGACTGTTACATGCTCATGTTAAAATGTTCTTAGAATATTAAAAAACCCTACAGTTTCCAAGAAAAAAAATGTATTGATAGGTTGCCATGTCAGTTTGTCTCAGTAAGCTGCTAAATATATTCAGTTTGTTATCTTCATGCATTTGGGGGAAAAAGACCTCAATGTGAAGAAAAAGAGGAACTTCTCATACAAATACTAATATAAGTTTGGGTATAATGAAAATACTAGCTGTATTCCTTAATAGTAAGTCACTGAATTTTAGACTAGAAACTTGGTGTTCAAAACCAGAGCACGTATTTTTGACCTGACAGCTCCAAAATCTGAAAATCCTATCTTTCACGTCTGTTTTAATGTTTTCAATTACTTGCACTGAAAATATTTTGCATAGGCTTTCTTCAAAATATTACTATTTGTGATCAAACTTTTCCCCAGTGTAAATGTCACAATACAGTGTAGTCAGAACTAGAAACAAGTTTTTATATCTGATCCTTTTTCTGGTACAGTCCATTGGCTGTGTTTCAGTTTTGTTCCAGCTTGAGAGGCTTTGAGTTATGTCTCCTGCAAATTGTTTGCAAATGAACTGGCTGATAAAATGTAGTTGCTGGTATTTACTGTATGCTCAATATTATTCATGCAATAGCATGTGGTACCAGGAAACTTTTCCCTTCTCATTGTTGTAAATATTGACTTTTTGCAGATGAATATCCTTTCACCTAAACAAAACAAAAAAAAAACCCAAAACCCAAAAAAATCCCCAAACCAGCTTTAGGCAGTTGTTTTCCTTGTTACTTTCCATGCCAATAATTATAGTAAAACTAATTTTATACTAATTTTGCTGACATTTTTCTCAATATGACTGTTTTCTAAAGGCTATTGCCTTTCAAGGTAATTTAATATGAGATACTAATTTGAATTAGAAGAAAATGTTGAATTTAATGTCCAGTGATGGTCTGGACCTAACACTGTAACTGTAGGGATACAGTTGTTAGCAGGGTCTGTTGCTAATGAAATACAACTGTAATGGTGAAGCTAGGAAAATGGGGAAAAAAAAAAAGCAAGTAAGAAGTGTGAGAGACAGAGTGACAAAAAGGGGAAGAGAGACATAGGTGCCAAGAAGGAGAGAGAGATGGGGGGAGGTGGGAGGAGGGAGAAAGAGAGAGAGAGAGAATGGAAGTGTGTGGGGCTCCCCAGATGAATGTCCTCCCCTGGTTCCTTCTCCAGTGGAGCAGATGGTCCCTCCTAATAGTGCTGTTCCCATGATAACTTGACATTTTTCATCAGGACCTTTACAAATTCCCCGTTGGTTATTCCTGCTTTTGATGCTGTTATTGCTTATGGGAGCACAGCTGGTCAGGGAAAGGGCTGCACAGCTGCTTCGTTCCTGAGCTTTCTGACAACCCTATGCTCTGGGATACAATAAGCTAAAAACTATTTATTGGGGAAGACCACTACTGATGTGGATTTAGAAAAACTTCAGATCCAGAAATGCTCAGTGACATAGTCAACTACAGTCTAAACACCATTAAAGTTTAAAATAAACTGTAAAGACTCAGATGGAAGGTCAGCTGCAATGTGAATGCATCCTCACTATTTACATGGCTTAATGTACCCAGATTGTATCAACTACAATTAGTTTTAGATTGTTTCTTTTTGTAGCTGCTGATAGAATATGTTATTACTTGCCTATTCTACAATAGTTTTGGTTTAGTGCATTATAATGTTCATACAGTCTGTCATTTAAAAGAAAAAATTGTTCTGTACTGTGGTTGTAGGATCACAGACACTTCATTTAAACCTGGAATATCATCTCATGGCCCAGGAAGAGATACAGCCTGTAAGGGTGGTTCATGTGACATACAGTCTATATCTAGCAACCTGAATCCATCTGCCCCATACCAAAAAATGAAACTGCTGCAGCATCCACCCAGTGTGGCCTCTGACAACGATATTAAAAAAAATATGCTTTTGCCGCGCATACATTTTTCATTGCATTTGTCCTGTATTGAAATGACACTCTTATGTCATAACATTTAGAATCCCTCCCGCATTTTTCAGTCTGCTTGAGTAATAGCCAAAGACTTGAGATTTCAGATTCACATTGCTTTGTCCTTAAATATATCTTTTAGAAAAGTCTTTCTACCAGCCTGATATACTACCAGTGTCCAGTGAGGGTTTAATGAACTAAAAAAGACTTTAAAGAAAACACAGGTAAAATATAGAACTTTCTTGACACAGTATACAAATTTTAGATAAAATCAAGGAGCTACTGCTTTTAAGAAAACTGGCAAGAAAAAGAAGTAATTGTTTTTAGAGGAGTTTCATTGTTTCAGTGAGGTATATAAGTGTGATTCACTCCTTTAAAAATACAAGGCTTGCTTATTAAAACAAATGTGTGTATGAATGAAGAGGACCAATAGATGAGTAAAGGGTTAGGAATGTACGTAGGTGGATAGATAAAGCCAGCTGAACATGCTAAATGTGATGTTAGTTCTTGTTTGATAAAACCTTTATCTGGGCTTGCTGGGCAAAGAAATGCAGCACATGCGCATTAAAGAAGTTCACTCGTTTCACAGGCAGTCACAACTATTGCAATGCCTGTAAAGCTCATTTAATAGCTGGGTAAATGTTTAAGCAGTTAACTTGTTTCAAACTCCCTGCAGCTGAGGCTACACTCCTAGATTTAATATGTCTATATTACCATAAACGCAGCATTTGCCCTTGAATCAGCCTTGGAAGGAATGATAGATAGCAAGAACAATATCAGTGACGCAAAATATCAGAATAATATTTATGAGTATATTCAGGCATTACACAGAACAACTGGCTAAAAATTTGCATGCAGTTCTAGGTAAGACAGCTTTTGTGGCATCACAGAGAAACAAATGCTTAAAATTTTGTGCTTACTATTTCCAGCACTCCTGAAATTCCAGCAGCAGTTAGAGCTGTGAGAATATTGGTGTAAATGAGTGAACATAAAGATCTAAAGGATTAGGTCCACGTCAGAGTTTTCTTTTGTTCAGAGGTTTGGCTTCCTGCCATGGGTCCAGGAAATAAATTGGCTGTAACAGAGCTTCTTCTAGCATTCTGCTAAGTAGAAGTATCCCACTAGAGACAATAGCAGGCAAAATAAGGTAAGCAAGAGTGGAAGATTACAGCAGATTTTTCAATAGGCTTCAATTTAAGATTATTTTGTCAGACTGCTTGTTTAGATTCTAACAAATAGTGATTTTTTTTCAGCCGACTTTCATTTTTTCTTCTGAACTCTTCCTTAGTCTAGTTTATGTCTATTTTTATATATTCTTATATCTATTTTATAGATTTTGTGAAGTCTGTCTGATGTGAAAGAGATCATCACCTCACTATTTATCATCTACGGGATTCTAAAAGTTCCGTTTAATCCACTGTTAAATTCTAATAAACTTGGAGGAGTTACTTACATTCTTGGGAAGCAGGACTGTCAGCTGCAATCCAATGCACTCAACAAAACCAGTTCTGATCCTTTAACAGTCTTAGAGATACCTTTTTGTGAAAGTATGAGATAATACTTGGATTGTACTACTGTGTGAATGAACTCCAAAATTTTAAATTCTGTTTCCGTGTGCTGAATTTGATTTAATTTTATGATCAGATGTATCTGGGGGTTAAGTGGAAGAGAGAATGATGGCTAAGAACAAGCGAGATCACTAAGGGGGCAAGAGAAGCTCTATAACAGATTTTCTTTGATGCCTTCATATAAATGAATCGATATGGTCTACATAGCAGGAAAATTTTTCAAACTCCCTGTGCTTTTAGGGTGATCTTGTTGCTGTTTGCCACAAATGTGCTCAATAAACTGATTTCAGCAGTTTAAAGAGCTCAAAATTTTCTGCTTCACTTAGATGCAACTTAGAGGCAGACCAAAGCAGAACAGACCCAAGTTTCCAAAACAAACAGTGGTTTGACTGGGTCTGCAGCCAAGAACAGAATCCAAGCTCATCCTAGCCCTCTTCAAGCAGCGTATACTTTAGAGAAGAGAGAAAAGAACTAAAGAAATGGGTATGAAAGACATTAAAACAAAGAAATAGACATAGGAAGAGACACACAACATTAAAAACAGTGAGCAAGAATGAAAAATGTGGGAGTACATGACATCTGTGTAAGAACATGTCATGAGAGGAAAGGCTTATTGAAATGGGAGTATTTCTATGTCACTCAGTCTTAAGGGACATGTAAGGAATTCAAATTACAGAAGCTTTTGTTATTTATTGTAGAGAGATTTATTTGTTCTGGAGAGCTAACAGAGGTGAAGTTCTACCACAGACTTCAGTTTTCTACTTGTTCAAACAAGCCAAAATTATTAAACTTAAGTAGAGTCCTTCAGAATGTCATGATTACCTGTCTATCTTACTCTGTAGAAAATATTCTAAGAGTTTATCCACTTCCTAAATATGCTTCTGAACATTTTTTGAACTGGCCTGCCCTTTTAAGAAATTCTTCAGGGTCTTGACTTGTAATCATCCTTCTTTTCTTACAGTGGTGGGTGTAAGTATTGCAGATGCAAGACTCTGAATCCAGGTGGTTTGCACATTTTCACACTGGTTCTCAGAAAGAAAATAATTTCATTAAGCATTTAGGACTAACTCGACAGAAATTGTCATTAGTAACTGCAGTATGTGAACGGCAAATACATCAGAAAACAAGTCCCTGACTGCTTCACTGGGTATAAAAATCAGGAATTAGGATCTTCAGAGCAAGTGCAGCCAAACTAGAACAGCAATTATGTTTTCACTAGGAATGTTCTATAAGGTATGAAACGTCTGGTTTTGAGCATCCTAGATCTAACAGTCTTGATGCTTTGCTCATGCTGAACACCTAGCACTCTAAGGTCTCTCGTTTGCAGAGGTCAGGTCCCAGTTAGGAAACCTCTTTTGTTTTGCATGCTCAGTGCTAAAGCAATTTCAGCAACATGAAGAAAATCCAAACTTACTTTCTATCTCTGGCTCCAAGTTATCAGACATTTGAGAAATTAGACATATTTATTAGGAAGAATAAGTTCTTTCTAACAAATGTTTCACTTTTCAGTGACCTAACAGTGTTTAGTTATGACTAAAGAGCCACAGAGAGTGAAAAAGCCTTAGTTAGCCTTCATATTCTAGTAACAAGAGAATTGCCAGAGACAGAAGTCCTTCATTTCTACCATTTCACATAAATACTTAACATGAAATTCTGCGTCAGTCAACTGAACCAAATCAGAAGACAGAAATCCCCTCCTCCAGGTGAATTCACAAGTCACTCCACTACTGTCAGAGCCATGATCTCTCTGGCCTAACTGATATTTAGTTATTCTGTGCAAATCTGCATGAGGCTAAAATTACACGCATCTTCACTTTGTTCATTCGCCAGGGTACCAGACAAAATTGAAGTTCATTGTTAATTTTGGTCTGCACTTGCCATAAACAGTTGACTTCAGGAGGCTGTGTAGACTTAAAAATTCCAATTTCTCTTTCTTCAAACCAAAGTAAGGTACTTAGCTTTTCTGAAATGCAGTGATTTAAAGCTGAGTCCTCAGGATATCTTGTTAGCTGCCTGGGTGGTTCCTCAGTCGATACTGTTCCAATTTTTAGACACCAGCCTCTCCTTAGGATATCTAGCCTAGGTAATGCTTCAATCCTTTTATTCATCTAGCCTTCAAAAACTGAAGAGCACTATTTTTTGTAAACATAGTCACAGATACAACATATTTTTAAAAATGCAGAGCACATTGAAGTAAAATTAATGAATTGTAAAGGAAACAATTATTTGAGAATACGAACGGTTGCTAATGGTAGGAGATTGATTTTTTTTTTCCTAGTCACTTGTGATAGTCATTAATAATTCTAATATACTTCTCAAGTTTCTAAACTCCAGTTCTCATTCCTGAGGTAATATTTACTGAAAGTCAGATTATGTTGTGTTGAAGTTAGCATCATTTTCAATCACTTAGGAATACTTTGAAAATTATCTTAGACTGTATTCTGAAGGACAAAAAGAATATGATTTTTCAATCCAGATAGCAAAGTGTCACATAAACTGCTTACGTTCTATCTAAGGGGAAGTCTTTTAAAACATATTCCTTCAACACAACTGTATTCATGATAACCTGCATCTTAGTGGAAGTCTAGATAACTGATTTACTGTCACTGGAAACATTTACTGAGTTTGTCCTGCTTCCTCTAACTGTCATTTGTCAAAATTACTCTTTTTACAAACTTACTTCTCAAATGAAACATGAAGTATTGTGACAAATTCTAACTCCTACTTTAGGGCTGGAAAAGAGAGGCAACTCAGGTTATCAGGATTTCTTGAGTTCTTCTGCAATGCTGCTCCGCTCAGGCCGCAAAAAGCCGTATCAAGTGTCTCTCCATGGAAGGCAGGCTGTTAAGAGGAAATCTTTGCTGAGAGCTGTGGAAACAACTTCTGAGAAGTCAGGTAACTCTTTCCTGAGTGACAGGTATGTTTGTAGTCTTGGAAAGATGATTCCAATCCAAGGCAAAATTCAACCAAATTAAGTATCTGGAACAGCTTTTCTGTAATTAGGTCAAAAGTAAAAATACTGGAACAACAACAACAACAACAACAACAACAACAAAAAGCTTTAAAACAACCAATACAGAAATATTCCTCAAAACAGTGGTATTAGATTTTTCACATTACCAAATTCAGGCCAATAATTACTAAAGTACATCTATACCTCCACAGAAAAGAGTGAATGACATAGCAGGCCTGCCAACCATTTTATTTTGGGCACTGCACTAGTTCCTGTAATTCTAGTTAAAAGTAGAATTCTTACACTATAGCTATTATAATATAACATTTTTCAAAGGGCTTTTCTTTATTGATTTTTGTAGTTGTCTTCTTGCATTTTAGAACAATGCTACTTTTTTTCTGGAAACCCGATAACCTTAGTTGCCAGGCCTTCAAAGAGAAGGCCTTTGCCCACACATATATCAGCTATGCATGTGCCAAACGTCTGACACGGGACGTGTCAGACCTGCCACTTCTGGAGGGTGTGACACAGGCTGTCAGGGTGTGCATCATCCCTCTCTTTTGTTGTCTGTACGTGCAAAATTTCTTCTCAGTCTAAACAGGGTGGAAAGGAAGCTTCTCAGAAACAACTCTATTTTTCAAAATGTGTACTTACAGATGTTTCAGAGGAGTTACATCAATATCAAATGAATAACAAAGTTTTTGTGAGGTCAAGCATTCCCAGAACATTGTATCACTGCTGGTGCGTTTTGAATATCCTGTTGTTTTACATGTCTAATTGTTCTGGCAAAGAAAGGACTGTATCTTACATCATAACTGGAGGTCTGTGTGGTCTCAGAAATGTCTTAACTGAATTTGGAAGAAGCAAGCCTATTCCAGTAAAACAATGTTCAGCCTAACATAATCAATCATTTCGTAGGTGTCTGACACCCAAGTCCCTGAACCTACATCCTTCTGACATCCAGAACAGCACAGTTGTGTTCAGTAGTGATAGGGAACAATTTCTCTCCTGACAGCTTTTAGCTACAAAGACCTGGGGTTTTTTTCACTAAGACATGTCAGGTCCCCAAAATAAATGCTGCTATTTTAAGTATTTGTATGCACTCTAACCTAAAACTCTTGTCTGCACAATTTTCAAAGCACAAAATTAGAAAACAGGGAAGTACTTACCTATGAAATAAAATAAACTAGTGTAGAAACAATATCCTGCAGAGATACTTTCCCTACTTCATCTCTTCTTCAGAATGAAAATTTATAACATCTCTGTGTTTTCCACATCTCCACAAATGGGCTCCTGTGCACAACCTTGCTCTTGCTCTGGCTCTGGCTCCCCACAGGGCTCTCTCTCCCACTGTAAGACTACTCATTCACCAGCCAACTGCTAATTTAGGCCCACTTGCTCATGTTCAAATTACTTCCGTCCCCATTAGCCTCTTTCAACACAACTATCTTCAGGTTGTCCACAATCATCCTTCTTACACTATCCCTCAGGCTGGTTGGAAGATATTTTTTCAAGCTCAAGTTTCGGCACATGTTAACTCTCCAAAAAGTTCATCATACATCTCTTCTTCTCACTGAGATAATCTGCCAATCAAAGAAGTCTTTGCTTTCCTTCTTCACCCCACCATCAAGCCCTGAAAACATCTGCTGAAACCCACTGTATAATTTCTATTACATATTCGCTATACTGTTAATAGGTCAAACATTCATAGATTGTCAAGCAAAAAATTGCTATAAAATAAACTTGTCTTTTTATTATGGAATTTTACCATTTTTCTGTTGCTAGCAAAATTAATTACAACTTATTTTTTATTAGTTTTCAGTCTGCGAGAAACACTGAAATGCTATATACTGACTGAAGATTCAAAAACGGTGCATTTTGACATAGATGAAGATGGTCATCATGAAATATCAACCAAGGATTCCCAATCCCATGAAGGTAGTGTGCGTTTTCTACCGAAACTCACCAACCATATATGGAGTACTACTGGAATTCCTTTAATGTACTATTATGTGTATTGTGTTCAGCTTTGGGCCCCTCCCTGCAAGGCAGACATAGAGGTGCTGGAGCTTGTCCAGAGAAGAGCAACAAAGCTGGTGAAGTGTCTAGAGCACAAGTCCTTTGAGGAGTGGCTGAGGGAACTGGGGGTGTTTAGTTTGAAGAAAAGGAGGCTGAGGGGAGACCTCATCACTCTCTACAACTACCTGTAGCGAGGTGGGTGTTGGTCTCTTCTTTCAAGTAAAAAGGACCAGAGGAAATTACCTCCCTCGTGTTGCACCAGTAGAAGCTTAGGTTGTATATTAGGAAAATTTTCTTCACTGAACGGGTTGTCAAGCATGGGAACAGGCTGCCCAGGAAAGTGGTTGAGTCACCAGCCCTGGCGGTATGGAAAAGCCCTGCAGATGTGGTGCTTAGGGACATGGTTTAGTGTGGACTTGGCAGTGCTCAGTTAATGGTAGGACTCAGTGATCTTAAGTGTATTTTCCAACCTAAATGATTCTTTGGTTCTGTGTTTTCTGTAGATGTATTATATTGCATCTTTATGAATATTGATAGTGATATAAGAAAATTTTTATTCCAGTTTACAGTAAGTATATGACATACTTAAATGACAAGATTATTTTGTTGATCCCCATTTGAGTTAATGGGAAGTCCAGATGCTTAACTATTAAGAGAGCAAAAGCAAAGATAATCCTCAGAGGCAAGGTCAAAATGGAGAAAAATAAAGAAGTTTTCAGAATTTTCAGGATTATTTTATTTTTCATGGAACTCTTCTTGTATCTCAAATGGCACTTCTCTAATTGATACCAAAAAAGATCTCACAGCTAACATCACAAAAGTAGTTGTTAGAAGATATTCTTTTGGTAGAGAAGAAGCAAATAACAACAAATGCAATTATTCTAGGATTATACATTTTCCAGAGATGTGAAAGTAGGGGGAAAAAATAATAAAACGTATTTCTAACTGAAATATAGGAAAAAGGTAAAATCTGTAAGATAGCTTTCAACCTACTGAAACTTTATTTCTTACAAAACCCCAGCTTTTACAGGAATGAGAAGTCCATTATATATGCCTCAGATAAAGACATATAAAGGCTTGTCTGATATATTTATAAACTAAATTCATGTTCTTTTTATTATGTTAAACTGTGAATAATGACAGCTGCACTGGTAAGATATTTAAGTGTGCTTTGTATCTTCTGAAGAATCTTTTACTTGACAATTTCATAGAATTTTGAAGTAACTCATACAGATAGTATTCATAATTTATGAACAAACCCAATATCTGTATATGTATACAATGGAAGCATTTTGTCATAGATTCATAGTATGACAATGTTGTTGTATAAGATACTGAAGTTCCTAGAAGGAAAAAAAAAAAAAAAAAAAAAAAATATAAACACAAGCACCACAAACATTTATTCATGGTGATACAGTTAAGACAACATCATACTAGAAACATACTGTAACCTGGATGTTTGTGACTTTGACCTGAAGTGGGTGATGCCTTCCCCAGATGTCTGGCTATATGATTCAGGCTGATGTTAGAAAAGCCAGAAATGTGCTGTTATTGTTACCTGTTACTTTCCAGTATTGTACATTTCATATTAGGGTCCTCACATGTGCTGCCAAAGACTGTCAGGCTTCTCTTTGATAGTATTTTAGTCCTTACATCTCATTACTGACCTTTATTTTCTCAGGTGCATTCTCTTTTGCAAAAGATAATTAATTGATCAATACATTTATTATACTCAGAGTTCAGACTTCAGGGTACCTGTTCAGGAGACTAACTGTAGACTTCTGAGGTTATATTAATTCAGAGACCTGCAGGAGATGAAGTCTGATGCCTATTGCTGTTACACACTCTTTCTCAGACTACATTTTAAAACAATTCTTTAAATTATGATGTTTTTAAATTTGAAGAGTGTAACTATCTAATTCCACATGTTTGTTTAATATCTTCCATTTTAGATATTGCATGGTTAAGCGTGTTCACAAGGAATGAACCAGCAGTTACTGGTAAGACTCCTGTGGGAATAAAATATACCATTCTCTTTGGTAGGCTCTGGTTTTGAAGAGATGTTTGAGAGTAGGAAAAGAAGGTAGTAATGTTTTATACATAGACTTGACATTAGAAGTAACGTAATATACCAGATTTTCATTTATGTCAGATTGCTGGACAATTCTAAAAATGAAAGAGCCTTTCTGTGTTCCATAAGACAAAATTTTTGAATTTGGAAAATTTGCCTTAGCAAGTTATGAGTAGTAGCTTGGACTGAAGACAAATGTATAGGAAGAAATATAATGTATACAAGCTAGAAAATCTGATATTTTTAGAGGAAAATGTGTGTGCTCTGATGCTGGCATATGGGCCTTAGCTAGCAAAGACCTGTTGTAACAGGAGAGGAAAACAAAAAAATAAATGAATATGAAGAAAGAAGAGACACATTTTTTGAACTTTCGTATTGTAAGCATAAGAAATGATTGGGGAAATCAAAAGTATATTAGTTCCAGGTATTCCAGTAAAAGCAAACTGTATTCCAATTTCAACCATAAGGGGCTGCTGTAATAGATTAGAGCAAACCAGGACTCCACCTTGAACAATGAGGATTTCTAGGTAACAATATAAAATATCAATACCCTCGTAAATCCCAACACTTTGCATTTCAGGGACACCTCAAGCAAGAATTGGTTTCTTGTATTCAGTTAATTTCAAAGTATTTCCTTTGCATGAACTTTAAAATTGCTCCTTAGACTCTGGTAAGGTTTTAGTAACCAGAGAGGCCATCAGAGAGTGGAAGTATCACATAGGAAATCATGGAAAGTTTCCTTACTTTCCTTGCCATTTGCTATCTGCCTGATAGACCACTTGTGTTTTTCATAGGTGATAGGGAAAGTTAGACTCCTTTGGATTTACTCAGGCTAAACAGTGTATAAGCAAGTCACAATAAACTCTACAGACAGAGAAAGCCAAGGATAATTAGGTTGTAACTCATATTGACATATGTCCCTAGTCAACTGGCTGGACTCCTGCATCCCTCTTTTGTTGCCACTCTTATCTGTAAGTCAAGACACTCTTGACTTGGGTATAAAATCTCTCCTGGCTGCTGATGTGCCTCTTACATGCTGCAGCTGAAGTTGGACAATTGGGACTGAGGCAGTCTAAGGTGATGTCACAAAAATAATAAAAAACAGCAGAGTTTTAGACCTTCTACATTCTGTTTATCTGAATACATAAGTAAACTGAGTAAAATACACTAGGCTGAAGTGTGTCTCAATTTTTATCAAGGATTTTTATGCTATTTTCATGCTATAGCTGGCTCAGACAAAATTCCTTCAGGTGGCTTCCACAAAAGCATTACAGTTATGGTAAGTTAGTGCAACTAAAATCAGGGCCAGGCTTAGAGCACCTAAAATCAGTCAGGTGGGATGAATATGATCTGCTGATTCTGAGTATCTTTCAAAGGCTAAAAAATACCTTTACTAATATGAAAAAAACCCTCCTAACTGCAACTGTTAATGCGTAATTACCTAACCTCTGTAAGATTTGTATTCAGTTGCTGTAGTGATGAACATACAGATCGACTGCTACATTCGTTTATGTTTTTTGTCTTAAACAGTACACCTGAGTGACTTTTAAGCACAAGTGGTATTATTTGAAGTAAATCTGCAAGGCAGTCAGATAGTTATAGCATCACTGAATAGTTATTAATGTCACAGGTTTTGTAAGTAATGCTCTTGTATGCTGTATGAGTTGACAAGGGGTACCTTAACTTACTTACTTTTTGCTGAGGCCTTGAAGTACCAAAAGATAATGAAAATTGCCAGTTTATCAGTCTGACAAGTATCCTGTATTATTGATATATTGTTATTTCCTGCAACTGAAATAACAGTATTATCTCAAAAAGGAGTAAATTCAATGCACCCAAAATTATGATAGTGAAAAGATTTTGACCTAGAAAGCATGCAGAAAATAAAAGGGGAAAAAATCGTACATTTTCTGTAGTGATGTATACACAGGTATATTACATAAACATGTCTATTGCATGTATGCATTAAGTACTAATATATATGCCTTTGTGGTTCATATTATATATATTAATGTATAACTGATATTCCATACATTAATTATAAATATATAGAAAAAAAATATGTAACTGGCAAAGCATCATAAAGCTGTAGACTTTATAATACTTTACAGAAGAGAATGGTATCGAGTGCTTATTATTTTCTCCTATTCCTATGCCTAGCGATGTAAAGTGAACATGAATGTTGTCTCTTTACAAAATATTTTCATCTATGCTTCATTTTAAAAAGTCATACACGTTTCAGTACAATATTCTCCTCTGTGTAAAACAGATTCTAAAAATTTGGTGATCCTCACACAGAGATCAAAGCTTAATGAATTTGTCCTATTGTGCAAGGGTAAGAAACAGCTCTGTCTGAAGGTAAGAAGTTATTTCCTCTGTAAATTGTGGGTGCTCTTTCTTACTACAGGACAATTTCCCCAACAGACCTTTTCAAATTGACTTTCCTTTACTTACCACCTTCCACATTTCATGACTTCTGACTACCTCCCTCTATTCTATCTGGGGAAATATTTGAAGTAGGTTATTGCAAAAATCACTGGGTTAGGTAGTTGACTACTATCACTAGAAGACAGCTGAAATGTTGGGTTCCAGTCTCTGTGGAGGGAGAGGGGTCTTCTTAACCAGAAAACATGCAGGAAATAAAAGGGGAGGAAGAAGCAGGATGTTGACTTGGGGAAGAGATGAGTTTAAGAGGGGAATTATTTTCTCCTAATCAACCTGAATGACGAGGCAAGGAATGTGCTGAAAAGAAAATACAGCTGAAAACAGTATCCTGTTTTAAACATTTACCATCTGTTGTCAGAGCATTCTCATTTTCTCCAGTCTTGTGAAGGTTTGTTTATGGTAGGAAGAGCAGGCAAGTATAGTTTTCCCTATTGGAGGGTTATAACCTATCCAAAAATCTGTCTGAGGAAGAATGTTATGTTGGAATTTACCCTCTAAAACAGGGCAAAGGTCTAAGAAGCTCTGTTTACATAGGTTATGTTGATATAAAGAATGACCCTTCATCCAACACTGGCCATGCATGATGGTGTAAAGTGCCAAATGCGTTATCAGATGAAGTCTTTGATGTTTTTCATTTTTTTTTAATTCACAGATGACTTTCCATAAAATCTATTTCCTGAAATTATCTGGAGACATGTGTGTTGCAAGATACATTAATTATTTTTATAGCTTATTATCCCATTGGGATTTTCCTTTCTGTCGTTTAAAGAGCAACTATTTTAAAAGGATTTTTCTGGCTCAGAGATTACTTTTTCATAAATTAATTGTTTGAAAAGTGTTCCACCAAATCAGAGAAACAACTGAGTGGTCAGCCCTTATTGATTTGACTTCCAATTCCCTGTTTTAAAGCACCAAATTATACCAGATTATGTCTCTTGACATGATTAAAAGCAGTTCTTATCTGAAAATGAGATGAGACATATTTAATGTCTCCCAAATACATAAAAACCTTGGAAAGATCATGGACCTTTTTCCAGCAGAATACAAATAATTTTCTTAGTCTCAACAGGAATTCTGATACACAAGATGACAAGGCTTCTTATCTGTGATAAAGTTTTGGTATTCTGTTACAACATGGTTCAATCTTGGCTGCACTGCAAAATAGAATCCGAGCATTAAACAGTTTGAAGGACTGTCTTCAGTATTTGTTTTCAACCCAATTCATTTTGCATTGCAAACGGGAAAAAAGGAATCTATTCATGGAAGTGTTTTGAGAATTTATCATTTTATTAATCCTGGATAATTTGAATGTAATCATTAATGCACTTTATTTTAAAAGAGAGTTTTCTTTAGAAGTAATACTACATTTAGTGGATTAAAAGAGCAAAATATGAAGACAAAATTACCAATCTGGGCCGTTGTAAACACAGGTCTTAAAAGCATCCTGTTCAGAGCCAGATTATCCTTCAGTGGAAAGATGCAACTTGAAAACCTGCAACCATGAAGATCCCGACTTCAAACAGGTATATAATTATGATCAAACAAATAAGAACATGTGTGTGAGAGAGTGTATATGCAAACATAGGTGTAAAATAAGTGCAGCTAAATGCGTCCTGCTCTTATCCATTAAGTGATTAATTGTTTACTTTCCTACTTCAGCTGATTTTTAGTATTTTCCTCAGAAAAGGGAAAATAAGAACTTTTCCATACTGTTGACTTGACTTGTATGTATCCTTCAATCTGCAGGCAAAATACCTGACTTTCAATTAAAAGACAGAGATGTTTCCCATAATACTATGGTATATAAAATGCAGGAAGATACAAAGTAGTTTTCACTTGTACAAATTCTTAGGCACAATCCTGTAAATCTGGGTGAGTGTATTAGCAGATCTAGAAGAGTCAGACTACAGGAGTGATTTAAGTTTTTAAGAAATAGTGAATCCATCAGTCAAAAACCTCTGGGAAGTAATAAAACAATAAATTATATATAATTTAATCTAAATAACAAATTAGAAGTAAGCAGTCCCTGAAGTACTTTCAGACTGTATTCTGTATCAGCAGATGTTTATAAATCAGGAGTAATGCTTTGTGTATAGAAATAAAGGTAGCCAGTTGCTTTCTTAAGATGTTTTTGTGACCACACTTTGAATTTGTTGGCTCTTCTCTAGACAGAAATGATAAAACTCTGTGAACCCAGGAAGAAAACTACTTTAGTTGTTCTATAAGGTATCTTAGACAGACCTTCTAACCTGGAGAAAAACTAAGGAAATGTAACTCATCATAATTTTTGTTAGGGTTGTAGTCAAGAGTATTTACTGTTCAGAGGGACTGAAAAGAAAATCCAATTTCAGTGAGCTGTGATCAGATAGCATTCAGAACTTCATAACAACCAATGTGAAACAATGAAAACATAAACTTCCCAGCCTAATGTTTCTAATTTTGCTAACATTTCTCCTAAATCAGAAACGAATTCTGGTAATTTGAAATCACAAAGAGTTTCTTGTTTGAAGTCATTCTGAAATGGTCTCTGAAAGGTATGAGCTACAGTACTACTTTTTTTTTTTTTTTTTTTTTTTTTAAATAATTAATGAACAAACCTGCATACCAGGCCTGGAAAATCTAAGTGGTTTCTTCAGTTTAAATTCCTGCTGAGGTACTTACTTGCTGCAACTATTCCTTGGCTCTACATAGAAGGAGAAAGCTATGAAATTCAGGAAATTTATATGGCAACTTCTTATTCCCTCCTTGTATGATGTAAACTATCACAGTCATATTGCATTTTTCTAAAATCTATTTCATACACTTTTTTATAGAAAAAGATATGCCTTCTTCTGTGGAGCTGTGCTTAGGGAAAGAAAATGTCTTGATGTCTTCTGTGGAGCTGTGCATAGGGAAAGAATTAGTGTCTTGATGGCTGCAAGAAGGGCTGTAACAGTTGCCTGGAGAGACCTATTAAGGACTGTGGGTTTCTAAACAGACAATTAAAATGAAAAATTCATTCTGAGAACCCATTCATTACCTAATAGACAGTGATCTCCTCATTGTATTTTTTTGCTGATACTTTCAATTATAAGAAAAAAAAGTTACTTCTTTGTGTGAGAAAGCAGCAGCCTGCACTTGAACCACATCCACTCAGGCCAAAAGTCAAAATCATAGTCAAGTCTGGATCATGAAATTCTTAATAAACCTTCTAGAATGAGTGCAATGATCAGGAAATAATTTTTGGTGTGATAAATAAAGCCTCCACTGTCCTTAGGATGAAAAAGTGACCGAGATGCAGAAGTACTTCTCATGGTCAATGACAAAGCTATGTGGTGCTGCAATGTGATATTTAGTCTGCTAGCTTCTAACAGTAAGTCTTAAAGACAGGCATTTTCCTTTTTTTTATTGGAAGACTGCCAGTAGAATTACCAGAAACATGAGAATCTGTGGAGCCTGCTGTTACACCAGCAGGAAGAGTTGCACAGTGTTGTAAATTTCCATTTCTGTAACCAAGGCTTATGGACACACTGTTCACAATCAATGTTTATTAAAATATTTTATTAATTAGGCTGTTATTATCACAATAAAATAATAACACTTGCAACAGCATTTAATAGAGTATAATAACATAATTTTCTGGCAGGGGATTAAGTGTGGAAGGTAATGCAGATCACAACTAATACGTATTGCAACACTGTGCTGGTAAGAGTGGAAAACTGCATCGTACATGCAGTTACTTCCTCACGCAGTGCACACACACACGGTCACTCAGCTGGAGCAGCAGCGGAGAGGCCAACCCCAACAGTTCACCCAGGAGCAGGCTTACATTTACTTACAACTGTAATGATTTTAACTCTGTAATAGAGCATGTTTATTATAATTAATAATATCATACAAGCAAATGCAGTTAACCACACAAGAGGATGAATTAAGAGATACAGAACACAGAACCTCTGCCACAGAAAAGGTTTTTCCAACTATCTCCCCACAACATGTTGACAATGATGGGATGTTTCTCACCCCTTATATATAATTCTCCCACTAGTCAATACAGACTCTTTTAGAGTAAGTAGGATTACATTTACAAACTTTGTCACTTGATGTAGCCCACGCACATCAAAGTGCTAATCCCAGTAATTTCTGAAAAAAAAAACAGAATATGGTTATGATGTTGAAATGAGCTTTATTTAGCATTCACTGTTGACATTAATGGCTTGATTTGACCCAGAGTTCTCAACTAGACTGCTGCTGTTTCATGCCCTTCTTATCTTCTTGCAGGCTGTCTCATAAATTAGCACTTTCCTTAGAAATCTGGACCAAAATTATGCCACCATATAGTATGAAATCTGGGCCTGTATCCTTGGAACACAGGCAGCCTAACAGATCATAAGAGGAGTGAGTACAGGGGGAACAAATAGTAAAGGCAGGAGTTACCAAGGATAGTTGTTCACAGTCTGTGTTCTTACATATATACATAGATTTTAATCTTCTCATTTTAGCATTTTCATTAATTATATATAAGTTTATGCTATTTCTTTTCTACACTTCCAGAAGTGCAGGGTTTAGTGATTATATATGGGTTATCAGAGAAGTACATATCTCCTTCAGTACATATCAGTATTATCTCCCTTCAGTGTTATTTCTGTTCTGGTTCAACCATAATATTTTACTATTCATGATACATTACCACCCACAGATCTTTGCATATGTATACTTAACCCTCTCAGCTCATATTAAGTACTAGTAGCACTCAGTTTTCCCTCAGTTTCAAACCTTCCTTTCTCTTTTTCAGCTGATACCCCTCCTAATGTCCTTCCTGACTTAACACATTTTCTTAAAAGATTACTGAAGTCAACAATTCTATCACTAGATCTGGCTGCTCCTCTTCAAATTGTTGTCTTTTGGCAGATGATGCAGGATTATTAGGTTATTATAGCTGAACAGCATTTTCCAAAAAGTTTGACTGGAATTCCGCAGCCAGGGTGGACTGAGATCTGAAGAGCTGCAACTCTTAAAGCTCCATTAAGAGCTATAATGGTTTTTAATCTAGGGTCCTCTCTACTTTGCTGTGTAGTTAGATGAAGCTAAACAAGTTTCATGGTTGGACTCGATGACCCCAAGGGTTTTTTTCCAACCTGAATGATTCTGTGTGATTCTGTGTGAAGACAGACAGATAAAGTCAGAAGTTAGCTATGCAGTCATGAAAGATCTTATTGTAGGACTTAGTCTTTACTCCAGTTAAATAGACCAGACTAAAGAAAATGAAGCTCCAAACAGGCAAAATCTGGCAAGTCCACAGAATTACCTTGGTTCAGAACTTTTGACCTTGTCAGTAATGACAATGCCATGTTTACTGTGCTTGGTTGCTAGCTGAGGTCAACCCATCACAGTCCTTGCTGGCACCCAGCTGGAGCTTGAGGGTTTTTTTGCTCCATAACTTGATTCATCTATTGGAGAGCCAAGGAGTAGTCAGCAAGATTCATTCACCCTTCAGTAGTCTCATATGGCCAGTGTGAAAGTCTGATGGAGGATGTAAATTGACAGGGGACTACTCTGGCCTGAACAAAGTCATGCCACCATTGAGTGCTGCTGTATCAGATGTCCTAGAGCTCCAATATGAATAGAAGTCAAATGTGGTAGAGTGTATTCTACAACCGATATTGCCAAGGCATATTGTGGCAGAGTGCAGGCCACAGTTTGCTTTCATCTGGAGGGATGTCCAAGACACCTAGAACCAACTGCCTCAGGGCTGGAAGCACAGCCTACCATTTGTCAGGACAGGACCAGCTGTGAGAAAATAAGCACTGAGGTATGTTGGCCCCAACCAGCAGCCAAGCCCCCCACAGAGCCACTCACTGAATCCCACTCCCCACCAGTGGGACAGGAGAGAGAATAGCAAGAGTAAAAGTGAGACTTGAGTCAAGATAAAGACAGTATAATATGTGAAGGTCAGAAAAAACCCCAAGCAATGCAAAAGTACCTCCCTCCTCCTATGAGCAGATCAATGCCTAGCCAGTCTCTGAGTGACAACCACCTTAGAAGCAAAAAAACCCCACCCTCTTCTTCCTCTACATCAGCCTTTATGGCTGACCATGACATTGTATAGCACAGAGTATCCCTTTGGCCAGTCCAGGACAGCCTGCTCACTGGGGCAGAGTGGGAAAAAGAGATCTTGATGCTATGTATGCACTGCGCAGCAATAGCCAAAACACTGGTGTGCCGTCAGCCCTGTTTCAGTCACAAATCCAAAGCACCATATAATTAATTGGTAATACTTTTCAAGATCCATGGCTTCTTTGATGCAATCGAGGTGGCAGCTCAGTTTTACTAGCTTGCTTATTCTCATTGCATGACTCATGTAGTTTTTGATTGTGTGCTCATTTCCTTTGTTCATCTGAGGCAATATATAGATTGTTGTGTGCCCTATACTCCTTTGTGTACTGACAATGTCAGATGATTAGTTCTGTTTCAGCTGGCCTTCATTCCTTTTTATCTTTTAGCTACTTCCCGGTTTAGAGTGCAGCAGTTGAGCTTAGCCTGGTGTTATGCCCATTGTGACTTATTCAAACTGACATTAAATCATTTTTAGTCTATTTATTTTAAAACATTTGTAGCATTTTTCTAACATAAGCAGACATATGCTATCACAGGTAGATTGTGGATCACCTGTAGGACATGAGTAAAAGTGTATTTTTTTGAAACCTAACCTGAAAATTTGTTTTTCCTTTAATGCAATGGCAAAGAAACAGTCAGATCTATAACTGAAAAACAGTTGGGTTTTTTTTTGGAATTGGAAATGATCTCTCAGACATGCCTACTGCCATAGGAGCTGTTGTTCTCAGGATAAACTTAATCTGCCAGTAGTCCACCATATTCTCCAGGTTTTCTCATGAGCCTTCTTAACAGGCCACAGGAGAAAATCATCTGTGTCATGAATTCTTGCAAAACACCTTGTTCTTCAATGATCTGCTGCAACTCCCAGCCCTAACAGTGTTTGGATATACTTCTACTCCCTGATCCTCCTTCCATTCCCCAGATCATCTTCCTGTGATGGCTCTCCATCTATTTTTCCATCATTTCATGCAGATACAGCAGGTATTTTTAATTTTTACATCTCAATCTGCTTTTGCAAGCACCTAGTTTTTGGCTTCACATTTACCAGATTCTATTGGAGTCTCCCTTGCTCTAGGGTGAATCTCTGTATTGTACACATTAATCCTTCTCCTTGCTTCTGTAGGTTGGTTTTTGTTGGTTTTTTTTTTTTTTTCTTTTCCCTGAAGTCACCAGATTCTCTTATTCCATTTCTATTTCTTTTTTTTTTTTTCATTTTTTTGAGTCTCTAGAAGGTATTTCTTCCTTAAAGACCAATTGTCTTCAACTTTTTTAATAGTATTTTTCAAAGCAGAATTTTTGGATTGAAGCTGAAATACTCTGCTGTTACACTGGTTTGATCAGGGCAGAATATTTTAGCTGCTTTCCATTATAACTTTGCTAATACAGGAGGGGTGCCCTCAAGCTTTTTTCATGTACTCCGCAATAACTGCAGGACATTTTCTTTCCTTTCCCTGTTGTCATACAGGTTGAAGGGACACATTCTTCCTTCCAGGGAAAGGTGGTTATTGATAATGCCTTAATCTCTAGCATAGCTGGGACCCTTTAATATCCTCCTGCTTTTTCCCAAGCATTCTGTTTCCTTTTAGAGGTTCCTTTAAGCACGGTGCGCAATGCTAACACACACCAGATTGGTCAGATTTATAGAACTGTCTTGTGGGTAGGATGAGTGTTTAAACAGATCACTCAAAAGGGAAGATGAAGTAATTTGATTATGATGCATTCATTTGCCATCTTTCTTCGACAAAAGATATTATAAATTCCCTGCTCCCCGGCAAGAGGTTGAGTTGGGGGAAACACAAATCTCAACCTTTTATTAATTAAGCTCTTGCTATTAGCAGCAGATAACTATTCACAGTCTTCTCAGTTACTCCCTCACTCAGTGTACACAGTCAGGAGCAGGAGCTCATACCCACACTCCGGGGGCTTCTAGGCGGCTGTACACGGTCACATATGGGGTCTTTCATTTCAGCAGGTGTGCTTACATATACTGCCCTGTAGCCTTTGCACACCTATAGCAGCCACTGCCTGCTTGGATGTGTTGTGGGTTACATCAACTGCCATGGCTGCCAGAGGGTGCTGGAGGCCTTGGGCAGGTTCAGCAGCTTCTCGGTACCCTAAGTTTATCAGTTTTTGCAGATTTAACAGGGTTTAAGAGTAATTTGTACTGTAACATTCTAATTCTGCTCCAAGAGAGACAAGAAAAACTGTGGATTTATATTTTGTTGCTAGTGGCAGTTGAGAGGATAGGTCTGTGGTAAGAAAATAACCAGACGAAAATCCTATATTATCCCAATAACAGGTATACTGCAGAGGAAAGCTGTGCTGGTCTTTTCATGAAGCAAAGAAATGCCGCTTTGGGTCTGGAAATACTCAGACCTTTGAGGGAGACAGGTATTATTTTATTCATAGTTAAACAGAATTTCTCTCAAAATTATCAGGTGTTTTCAAAGATTTATCTAAAAAGTGGTAAATGTGTGTCACCAGAGAAAAGCACTCAAAATATATCAAGCCAGAAACATACATGAATTTTTGTCACATGAAAACCTATAGAGAGGCTTTGAAATTATAACATATGTTCTTTACTTTATGTGTTTTCATAGCTGAGTGAAGATAATCACTTTTTCATCATGCATTACCAAGGAGATTCAGTGCAGTTCCAGTGCTATGAAGATAGAAGTTACTACCTGTATGTGAATGATGACTCACTTGACATTCGCAAGCCGGAAAACAAAGGATTCAACGAGGACAAAAATTTTTACTTCAGGGTGTCATATTTACAGGAAAAGTAACTTGTCTACCTTTCAGCAGCCTAAGTGTCCATACAACTGCTATAATAAGCTGACACAAGAAAAGGAAGGTTGAGATCAACTAATTTCCATTTTGACTTAATTTTTACTTTTTTATAATTTCTTGAGTCACCATTTTGCATGAGTAACATCCTTTATGTCTGTGCTTTCAACAGGAAAAGACAAAGACTGTCTGGAAAACATACTAACTGATCAGTCTCTTCGTGTCTTACCTGCATAATTATGGTTTTAAGGAGCTGAATTCTTCTGGAAGGGGAAAAATACACAGGGGATATTTCAAACACAGGGAAAGAAGAAGGAAGCATAGTTGATGTGAAATACAAAGCACAGTTAGTTCTCCACGTGGTAAACATTTTACTTTTAAAGAAGTGGCTCTTATGAGCTCACCTGAACTTGAGAAGAAGACATTTAGATGTTACTAAGTGCATATGTGCATGTCCTGGCTGACTGACTTTAGCAAATGAGTGGAAAAGGTGTCTCAGGTCTAACTGAGAATAAAGGAAGAGTCTGAAGGTTAGGCAGAAGATCTCTCTGCATCTGTAGCTCCAGATTAGCTCACATACTCCATTATGCAATTTTAGCATCTATCCAGCATGGCAGCTCTCTAAGAGGATGTACACAGAGCATCAGACTCACAATGTACAGGCAATGGGAAGGAAGCACATTGAACTGATGGCACATAACACATGTGCCTGTGAACACCAGCAGAAAATTGCTGACATATTGGCTTCCTTCTCTGAATCACAGGGGGAAATGCAATCATGTGTTCAGCTGCAAAGCAGAGTGCAGAACATCTATAAAATAATTAAATGTTCAAAATGACTAAATAAAATAAACACTAAGGGCTTATGTGGGGTACAGTGGAGGAGCAGTAAGAGTACCTGCCTTTTAGCAGCAAGGTCTCTCAGTGTAAAATGGAAGATGCTGGCACTTAAGCATCCATAGACCATACCCTGCAAGACACAACCCATTTGAAATAGAAGAGATGAACCAGAAGTGTACACAGGATCACTGCTGTGCATGGAGTCCCTCTGTGATTCAGAGGCAATTTTCTTTGATGCAAGTAATTTGCGAATGTATGCATAGAAATGATAAGAACCATGCACCTATGCCAAGAAGTTGTCACTTAATTGCAGTGGAACAACCTACAAGCTACACAGCACTTGCAGGAATTGTTCTGTGTAAATATAATAATGCATATACCTGAAATAGGAATCCTAATGTCAGTCAATCACACAAATGCACACTACAATAAAATAATTATCTATAGTAGACCAAACTCCAAAGGTCTGTAAGACCTTGAAAGATATTCCCACCCCCAGTAATGTGGAGTTTCTCTGCTGGGCTGCTTGTATTCTTCAAAGAGTGAAAATCATTCTGTGGCTTCCTATGCTGACTGAAGAGTGCCTTTGAGTACTCCCTAAATAATACTTGCTTAATAATACTTCTGGATCTGTTAAGTGTTCAGTGAAGTCAGTGGGAAGGAAAAAACCCCAAATGCTGGATACTGACATTAGCATACATTATACTAGAATTAATTTCTTTTAGCACTATCTGTTATGTTGCACAAGAAATAAATTCAGTTATATATCAGGTACAATAATTTCACTAACTGATACACTAACACTTCATAGTCATACATTTATTATTGGTAAACTGATCACCTTACTAAATTACAGAACATGCTCTCTAGATGGTAAATTGATGAGAAGATGACAACGCATCATAAAGCTCGTACAAAGCATGCTAATGAAATCAGCATTGCTAATGCCACCAAAAAAGTAACCTTGACCTCAGTGAAATTTTAATCTATTTTACAGTTAAAACTTAAATAATGGTTATATGCAGAATTTTGTACTTTTAGCATCTACCTTAAAAATAAGATTTTTTAAAACAATTTAAGGGACAAAAGCCCATATGGAAAGCAGCAGTGGCAATTTTGTAGAGTTTCATATTTGAGATATAAGATAGTAATGTCATTTGACAATTTCTCTCAGAAAACTAATAAATTCAGCCATCTTTGTAACTATAAATGTACATAGAAAAACAAAGCTAACAATTTCTGGATCCTGTTTTTTCCTGGATTCTTTTGGGGCTCATATAAACTCCTCAAACCCACATTTTCAAATTCCCTCTAATCTCAGTGTCTCATGAGTGGCAGAGAAGTTTTTATTCTGTGAGGTGGAAAGCATGTAGAAATTGTATTTAAAAATAGAAAGTGAAATCCAGTGAGTCTTTTAGAAAAATATAGCCTCTAACATTTTACAACATAAAAAACATTTATCCAGTATGTCTAACAGTTCAATATGAAATATAACTATTTTTCACTTTGTTTTGAAAACAGTACTGGTATTCTTTAACTTCTACATAGCAGATAAAAGTATTAAAATACTAATAGAAATATTTTGCTCTATTCTTTTCCTCTTCAAAAGCTGTGTTAGAAAGAAAATACTGCGTTCTGTTTGTTGCAGAACAATTTAATGCAAGTATTCTTCATATATAACTTCTAGTGCTTTGACCATATTTGCAACTTGCTAGAAGAAAACTTGTGAGAACATCAATAACTATAAAGAATGTGATCCTTATGCTAGCTAATCTGGCAAAAAGCTAACCAAATAATATATGTAAAAGAGGGGACCATATCTTTTTAGTATCTATGTACTAATTTTTCAGGAAAGCAGAGTATTTTAATAATGGAGAAGAGAATGGTAATTTATGGTTAAAAAAAATAATCTACAGTAAAAAACACTGAAGATTGGTAAAAGAATGACTGCATTAAAGTGTGAGTTTAGAAACAGTTGTCATATGTTAAAGCAAGAGACTGGCCGCCAGCCTTGCTAGCCCTGAAATACGTGACTAGTATACGCTGCATTACATACCACCTTCATTATGGGTAGCCAAAAGAACTAGAAATTAGAATTAGAAATTGCCAGTGTAATGAATGCTTTTACAGTCTAAACAAAAAACCAACAATCTAGCATTTGTGCAGTTGCAACAGTACTAGAACTTGTAAGTAATCCAAATCATGCAGTTTATATTAAGGATCTTTAGTAACACCAACATGTCAATAGACAAATGCCTCTTCCCTGGTGTGAAGTTCTCACCCTTTGAGTCACTCACTGTCTGAAGTCAAGGGCCCTCTTTTCTTAGATGGGATGATGTGATGATGTTGCCGTTACAATAGATGTAATAATATATATCTATCTTGTATAATATTTCCCCACTGATTTAGGCAGAATAGTATTCTGTCTGTCTTGAGTGCTGCTGCATTTAGATATATGTAGAATGAATTTTGATGTAGAAGATGTGTATAAATAGAGATTTTTTTAATGTAATCTTGGTTTTGTTTCTATTTGCCCATAACTTGTCTAACCAAAGAAATCATAGGCAGGCTAAATTCCTCCAACGTTTGTGTGTTTTAAATGTGACTCCTCATATTGCCTGTATATATTAATATCTGAAAAGGAGCAGATGCTCTACCATCTCCTCTCTTCATTGTTTCTGGAAAATTAAATGGGCTAACTAGGACTAAGGATGGAAGACAGCAGCTGTTAATGTACAGCTCCTATGTCAGCACACAGTTCATTGAAGTCATACTTATCTACCAACATCTCATAGACTTCAGGTGAACAGTAGTATCCTTGTATCCAATTTTACTACATCAGCAAGCTACAAAAAGGTTCTCAGCAGCTGAAAACAAAAAAAATATTTCTTTTTCCAAATCCTGGAATTTATTTCCAACTGATACAGGGCCTAGATCTCCTGTGTCTGTAATGACTGAAGGGGGCAGCAAAGCAGGTCAAGGAAAGAAAACTTTCCCCTCTGTTTGGTATTTGAAAGGCCATATCTACAGTACTGTGTTCAGTTTTGGGCTTTCCAGCACATACTGGAGCAAGGCTGAGCAGAGGCATGAGGATGATTAGGAGGATGGAGCATTTGAGGACGGGAGGCTAGGGCAACAGGGTTTGTTTAGCCTGGAGATAAGAAGGGTGACTTCTAGCTGAAGGGGGATTGTAGAGAAGATGGAACCAGACTCTCCTTAGTGGTGCCCAGAAGAAAGACAATAGGCAGTTAGTCACAGTTGTAGCAAGGGAAAATTTGACTGACTTTAAAAAGGGGAAAAAACAAACAAACAAACAAACAAACAAAAAGAAGATATGTAGGAATTGGAACAGGTTTTATTATTATAAAGTGTCCATCTCTGGAGTTTTTCCAATTCAACTGGCTAATGCACTACACAACCTCATCTAATGCTGAAGGTAAGCCTGCTTTGAGCGGGTGGTTTGAGAAAATTACCTCCAGGTGTTCCTTCTAACACAAATTATATTGTGATTCTATGATTCAAAGGCAGCTTCAGTGGCTTAGAATTTACAGAATATATAATCCAAAGAACAAAAGTATTCAGTACAACCTACACAAACATACAGAAGAACATAAAAGCAAACAAAATATACTCTATTGATTTCATCCAAAGCACAATGTTTTCATGACTACAGGCAGGCTTAGGCCCAAGGGAAAATACATTCAGTGTCAGAAAAAAATGTCATAACAATTGAGATTCCCTCTTGATCTCCAGAAAACTCAAACTGAAACACATGGGCTATTTCAAAGCAGAAAACTGTATAAGGAGAACAAGGAAATTAAAAAGTACTATTTCTTTTGGAAAATAAAAAGTAATTGCAGTATGATTAGCAGGTGAATTTAAAGCTACTGTCATTTTACCTCATTGTTTCTGATGTTGTTTTTCCTGCAGTTATAGTCTTCCCAATATTTGAATGATCTCAAGGAATTCAGTAAGCACATCTCGTTGTGTTAAAATCTGGTAAGCTCTGTGAGGATCCCCTCCACCCCCCACCATAGCTACTAACATTTAAGAATACACTACAATTTTATTAAAGAAATTAGAATGTACATTAGGTATTCTACTAATGCTACAAACTAAAAGATCTAATACACTCAGCTACAAGTATTACCCAAATTCCACAAGTTACGCAAATTACTAGCAGAATAATTAATTCCCCTAATAAATAGATTTTTCTCTCATAGACATGGAAGTTGTGGCTGACAGACATATTTTCCATAACATTAAGACTGCCCTGCTAGGCACTACACCAGCAAAACTGACATTTGCACTGCTTTCTCATAAAAATATTTACAAAGAGAAAGCGATTTACAGTATTCTAGTCAAGTTTTTGGTATAGCAGGCTTCAAGTCTAACTGTTGTCAGTGCAAATAACTGAAGTGATTAGCAGACACAGACAAGGAAAACTAAAATGTTTCATATATCTTTGCTGCCACTTTGTTGGTAAAGGGATTCTAAGGTGTTTTACAGAGACTGAATGTGAGAGGTACCTGAATAAAGGGGTGATAAAGTCTAGAAAAGGGATTAAGATTGGAGAGAAAAATACAGAGAAAGAGAACAGATGAGAAGAGAAAGACAGCATGGAGAGCAGAAAGATACACAAGAAGAAAATAGCTAAAAGGTATAAAAAGGAGAGGGATTGAGAAGAAGTTTGAAAATGAAGCACAGAAAGAATAGCATGATTCTATGTGCATTCCTTCCTCCTAGAAAACTAAATAGGAGAGTTAACTACACTAACCTCAGGTAAGAATGTGTAGCCCTCACATAGCTGAGCAGAGGACAATGTCTTGAAATCTGTATCAGTCCCAAAGTCCTTTTATCATAGCACCAATAATTTCCCCAAATGA